AAGAAATTATTCAAATGCAGGTTAATAATTAGACATTAAATGTGATCTTACTTTGTGAATTATCATTAAACGAAAAAAAAAATGTCCTCTTTATAAACTTTTATATTGAATGTTTAGGAAGAATTTAAAGATGAAAGTGAGCCTTTAGATATTGAAACTGGTCTTCAGAATCAAGCTGTGAAAGAGGTTCAAGTCACCTCGTGGGGAGAAGCTATTAGACGTCTGGAAGCTAAAATTGAAAGTCAAAGCGAAACAAAAGATACGGCTGTTTTGCAAAACCAGTTATCCAAATTGTGCCAAGCACATCAAACGTAAGATTATCTTACATAGTTACATCTCTAGTGATTAGGGTATTACTCCATTTTTAAATAAAAATGATTTTTTGACAGAAATTCTCAGCAATAAAAGTGTCAACCAAAAGCATTGATCAGATAATTACAATATTTTAACTCATTCATATAAGGTAATAAATTTGACTTAAAATAAACTTTTAAGCATTCTTTAATTTTGTAAGCCTATTGCAGTTAAGTTAAATTTAAAAAATAATAATTGAATAACGTTAAATTTTGTCGTAAAGTACTTACCGTTATTTTTATTTTTTTAATATAAATTACGCAGATTTCTGGAAAATTACAAATTTTTTCCACTAAGATATGCTTGAAAGAAATATGAAAAAGCTTCCCGAAAATGACAATAAATGTAAAATTTCTCATTAAATTTAGAAATTTGTCTTGAAATTATTATTATTATTATTATTTTGTTCTTTTGATTAACATATGTCTATGTACTTCACTCTTGCTGTTTTAATTTTAATCTATCATCTATACTTTTTAAAAATTAAGGCAAAAATAATATTTGTCTAGTAAAACTTTCTATATTATTCAAAAGTGCTATTTTACTTAGAGATTGGAAAATATTAAAACTTACTTTAATTGAAACAGAATCAGCTAAAATGCAATGTACCTAAAGACTTATTAGCACACAATCATTATGAAATGAATTATTTATTTGACTACTTTCTTAAATATACTAACAAATAAAATGCTTAAATTCTTTTGTTTTGAGGTACTAAAAAAATTAAGACTTCATTCTGACATTACTTGTTATGTGTTTCGAATATTTGAAGTTAAACTGGGTAAATTTTTACCTTTGATGATTTAGCTTCATAAAACTTAATCATCACATTTTTTATTATTCGAGTAAGTTTTTATATTATTTTATTCACTTAATTTTAATTTGAACAATCAATCAAATATGATTCTAACTATTGTTATTAAACGACCTGTTGCTCGCCTTTTTTGAGTTGTAATTTTTTAACTTATTATTTTTATTTCATTTTTTTAACATTATGTAAAGCTGAGTAACCAGCAAAAGTTTTGAGGAAAAAACTGAAGAAAAGTGACAATGATGCATTTTTTTAGTAATTTTCATACTTATAGTTTTATAGTAGACTCTTCTTTTTAGAAGAAATAACCCGTCTTTGCGCATTTCAGCTTAGTTGACGCATCCTCTGTTCGCCGAGAAGCCCTTGAAGAGTTTCTGAAACGTAAACAGTTGTTAGAAAACGTTGAAGAAATGATGGCATGGATCCAAGAAAAGAAACTGTACTGTGATTCAGATACCAATTGTAAAGATTTATCTGGAGCTCTATACCTTCAAAAGAAGCACAAAGTATGCTCCCTCGAGTTTACCTCAATATTCAAGATACTAGAATGTGCTATCAATTGTTTCTGTTTAAAATGAAAAAACTCGCAAATTCATTCCATTCGGAAGAATGAATGAGTTTTGTGTGTGTAGAGAGAAAAGTATGTAGATAGAATAATAGGCAGCTATTAGAATGCAAAAAAGAAATTTCATGCAATTTTTCTTAAACTATACGTTCAATTTTCGATACATCACATTTTTTTTAAAAGAAAACAATTGGGTAAATAATATTCCCTTAAGACAAACAGAAAAAAAATTCGCATTCATTCTGAGTATAGAAAATTTTGTTTTAACTCAAACAATGCATGTCTGTACAAAATGCAAAAAAACAAACTCTGTAACATTTGAGCTCTTAACTGAATCATATATTAAAAAAGTAGCTATTTTTGTAAAACATCCCAATAAATAACAAACAGTTTTCACACACACACATAAACTACATATTTTCAAAGCCCATACGTGAAAAAACATTTTAAAAAGTAATCGATACTTTTTACTCCTTTCAGTTTCTTGAAAAGAAATGATTTGTACATACTGTTAGATCAATATTGAATTATCATCCTGTAATTAGAAATATCTTAATCTTTAGTGTATTATTATAAATTTCACTTTTGAGGTATTTAGTTGTGAACATATTCCATGGTAGTATTTTAATAAATTGACATTTACTTGGCAATTCGCATTGCAATAAAAAAAAAAAAAAAAAAACTCAAAATACAGATTAAAAATAAAACTAAAACATATTTTTGAAGCAATGAATAGCTCTTTTTGTTCCAGATTATATTTAGTATGATGCTTAAAACTGGTTATTTTTTCTCGGACTGAATGCATTTTGAATCGAAGTGTAAAATGATTTACTTATTGAACGAAAATTGAACTATAATTGAGGATTTTCAGAAAAAGAGCTCTATTAAAATTTTAATAAACGGGGTATTTTTTTAAAATGACGCTAGACAGAAATTATTTTTTTGAATGAACAAAAGCTATTGACTTCTTTTTTTAGTCTTATTTTAAGCTATTTTTTATTTACTTAAGTCCTTAGGATCTGACTTGCAAATTCGAAAAGAGATGTCGGAAGACCTGAATGATCAAAGACTTAGAAAGGCTTTCTCTTCCCTAGAAGACTCTTGGCAAAAGAAAGAACGCGAAATTGCTTTCGCTGTTGAAGCATATCAGGTAAGTTTTGATGGGATTAAAGAATCAATTGTTAGGCAGTAGAATGTTTATAAGGTGTCCATAGCTGCTATTATCTTTATCGCAAAACCACAGGCATTCGCTTCTGCTATGGTGCCTTGAACGTGGACATGGGCAACTGAAGGATACGACAGTGTCTTTGCAGATGTATAACACTTTTGCCTGCAAATACAAGATGGTTCGATTTAGTCTGGAGATAATATGGCGAAAATTTTTTTATGTTTCCTTATGTATCTCCATACGCACCCGGTATAAAAGTTTTGGGTGTATTGGATGCTACTCCCACATTCCCTGGTACGTATTGCCAGTACAATGAACAGCCAACGTTATATCTTTGAGGTTTTGGGGCTTAATGTCTTCTTCTTCCTTTAGAACTTGCCTGTGACACCATTCAAATAGAGTGATGCATGGCCACACGTGTCACGTAACATTCAAATCTTCACTCATCAGATTGCATTGCTGTTTTAGCCTAAATATTTTCCCAATTTATCACTTTTGGAAAACGTCTGGTATAACAGGAGAGCAACTATGTATACCATACACTTCTACACCAGATTAGATTTGGCAACATAAGCTTCCATACTCCAACAAAACATCTACAGCTCCTTTCATTCATTTCCTCTCTTCCTTTGTGGCTGCGGTTATCGCCAGCAGCAGGGGCAACACTTGGTAATGATTTTCTCGTCTTTCTAACCTCTAACATAAGTTATAATCTCAATTTTTTCATCTTTGTATTCTGTGCGATATCTTTCTAATAAGTTTGGCTTTGATATCGCTTGGCTTTCTTTCTGCTAAATTTTTGGAGGCAGCGTAGTTAAACGATTCTATAATATGAGATCCTCAAAGCTCAAATCATATACTCTCCTATTTATTCTTTTCTTCCTTAAACCTTTATTCATATTTTAAAATCCTATAATAGTTATATTCTCCAATTTGTGTGTTTATTTCAAACTATGATATAATACATTATATATATATTATTATTATATTTCTATTTCATGGATATTCTCCAATTTCTCTATTCATATTCTATTGAAAAAACTTTGATTTAGTTATTTCTATTTCACAACATAATAGTATATTACATGAAACTCTAAAAATATATTATACAACTTTTGTTTAAATATTTAGTTATTGAAATTACAAATTTCAATAGAACCGAATAAAATCGTAATAAACAGGCAAACAAAAATACGAAAGAGCAGCGCAAATTCTATTTATAAATATACCTATTAATTATTTAGATTATAATGTAACTAATTTTTCGATGTACTCGAAATCTTGATTTCAAAAAATGATATTGAGATGTATCTTTAACATATAAGCAAAGCGAAAAAAGAACTAATAATATTATCTTTTTACTATTGCTATACATACTCTTTTTTTTCCTATTCAGTATTTGGCTGATGCAGAAGAATGTGACTCGTGGATTTCAGAAAAGCTTCATTTGCTATCCAGTTTGGACTGTGGATCGGATGAATTGACATGCGAAGTAAGAATAATGAAATCAACGAGCGATAGAATGACTATTAATTACTTTAACTTCAAATCATCCCTGGGTTATTAAATTTAATCCTCTGTGATAGTTGAACAAATCTCTTATAGGTCTTTTGATGACGATACGCATTTTTGATTAAAAAAAGTCATTACAATTATACTTACAAGTGAAATTAGTTTGGTCAGTCTGGATATAAGCGTTAGAGAGTGAATCTATACTATGTCTCTCATTAAAGCTCTGTAATTAAACGCATGATTACGTGTCTTCACTGTAATTCGCATGCATTAAAAAAATGACCAATACAGTGAAAATTTTTGAAAAAAAAAATTAAAATTTTGTCAATCCATTTTTCCTTCCCCCTACAATTTCCCCCCTTCCCCCCCCCCCCATTTATATATTGCTTAAATTTTCCATCGGTAATTAAATACTTTCTATTCATCCATTCAAGTTCAAATACATTTTTTTAAAACTTGTTGTGGATGACGCTTGATGCTAATACAGTTTTTTAAAATATTAATTTATTAATTAAATTAAAAATGAATAAATAGTAACAAACAAAAATATTAATCCAAAAGCATATATAGAAAAGAAAATTGTTCGTTGTATTCCTGTAGAGCAATGGATAGCGTGTTGGATTTCTAATCCAACCAGGTGGGTTCAAATCCCACCTGGGATGGCCAAATTTCTGAGAATGTGATTTCCTTTTCACTATACTATTTTATCAGAATAATTAAATTTAATTGATGAATAAATAGTAACAAACACACACACAAAAAAAATAGTCCAACAACCATATATAGAAAGGAAAATCGCTTTCTATTTTGTCACTTCATATTGTGATTCTGTTATATGTACATACATATTTTTATATTAATTGTAACTATTAAATAAAAAGTACCTAAAATAAAATTTTTCTTTGTTGACCTAAGTAGGAATTGACTTAAAATTGTTCTTATATATTGCTTCTGTTTTCAGTATATTGTAACAGTGTGACATAGGTGTGATAATATATACAAATAAGTTTTTTCATTAATTATCCGACTAAATTCTCCATGCTGCATAAAAAACCATTTGTATTTTATGAGAGACAAGATTAATGGTGTATATATTTCAAGAGTAAAGTAACTAGAGCGATTAAAAATATTATTTAACTGGGAAAAAAGCAAAACGAATAAGAAAATGATGAATATTATTTAAATGGAACATTTAGAGTGTTGAAAGATAGTCATTTTATGAGCCACAAATTGCTAAAATAAACTTCAATGTTGTCAGATATAATTTTGGAAATATAATTTAAAAGTTGTATAAAAACTCAGTAAAAAACCCAAAAAAAAGATAAACATTTTCCATGTTTGCTTAAAATGGTACATTCATCTTTTCCGTAACATTTAAAAGGATTTCATGTGTTTCGAGTGCACAATTATTCAGCAAACAGGTTTTGTGCTAAGTGATTAGTATGCTGTGTATTCTTCAACTGGACTATTTAATATGGGTGAATAAGATACAACTTCGTAAAGAATTTTAGTAGCAAAAGGTCAATACTCTCTTCAGACGAGATCAAGTTTCGAAAACAATACAGTTACTAATATGCCCTAGTCTGCAAAGAAAATTGTGTCATATTATTATTTTTCTAATGTATTTTTTTTCACGTAATAATATTTCTTAAGAATTTTAAAAGAGCACGTTTATATTTTAAGGAGATTTATAAAAATGCGTAGCCATTGAAAGTAAGAATAATTTAATAAGATTCTTTACCTAAGTGCTCGAAATATCAAGAAAAATTAATTATAAAAATTAATGAGATTTGTGCGTTAGTGGTATGACGATTTATTCAATAGTTAAACTAAAAGTTCACAGCAAAGAAGAAAATAATGTTTTTATTATAGATATAAAGCAAAAACAAAACATTAAAAAGCAAAATCATTGCGTAAACTTATTTTTTATCCTAGTAGAAAAAGGGTTGAAGTAATTTAAATGAAATATTACAGAATTATTAGACTGTCAAGTATGAAAGGGAGCAAAAAATGCACATAATTGAATTCGATTTATTTCCAATAAAAACTGAGATTTTAAGATGATCTGTTAATTTTTTTTTCAAACTGAAATATGCATTGCAAAGAGGAAAAGATGTACCTTTCACACGGAAAACAAATTATGTCAAAATATGGCGTCTAAATGAGGTTATGTGCAATTGAAATAAATAACATGAACTTTGCTCCATTTCATACTTGACAACCTAATACATTGAGAAAAGCAATTTACAAGTTTTTTGAGGCTAAAAATTATTTTAAAGGTTTAATGATTATCATTTAAGTATAAGAATATTCCCAAATGATTAAAAAAGACTGAAATTAACAATTGTTTTCTATGTTAAAGAATTTTGGAATTTATATACGTACACTTATCATTCGACATACTTTTACAATGAACCAATTCACATACATTTTTATCCTTTTTTAAAAAATATATTCCATAGGTTAAACTAATTGTTATGTTGAGTGACTTATATATGTTTATTTATTCTTTAAATTACGGAAAGAAATGAATAACTGACATTAGTGATAGAAACAATTGATTTAATGTGTTATATATTTATATATATATATTTCTTTTAAGGCTTTTCTTCGACGACATGTTACCGTTCAAACAGAAATTTCTACAAATGCATGTGAGGTGCAAAGATTACGTCAAGAAGCTGATAGGATTTGCAGTGCTGCTTCTAAAAAAAAGGTAATCTTTGTGAGACATGGCAGTAAACAACTGTAGTAAGCAGGGTGACACCGGAGCCCTCAAATTCAGGGGGCCCCTCGGACCCTGACCACCAAACAAGCCGAATTTGCGATCATTTCTCCCACATTTAAAATACAAAAGATTGCAACACAACTATAATCATGAGAACTCAATTGAAAGCATTTTCGATCCCCTTAATTCTTTCCATTGTTTGTACGCTGTTGCGAACTTAACTTATTGAAAAGTTAATATTATTTTCAATTTTTTCATTTTTCTATAAACTGTTACTTGAAAATAAGCTTCAAATTCCATTAAAAATCTTTCCATATTTATTAATACACCCTAAAAAACTTACACATGAAGCCATTCCTTTATTTTTAAAAGCAATGTGATTCATAATAAGATAGTTTTCTGTTTCAACATTTCACAATCTACTCGCATCTACAATAGACTGATGTTCTCCTCTGTTGTTTTGCAGAGGTCTATTTTCAAAGACCTCTGGTCGGGCTGCTTTTTCTTGTGCATGCATATTTTTTGTATCATTTCCTGTTTATCTCGGTGGACCATTTTGTAGGTTTAAGCTCTCTGGTGGATGAGTTCGATCCACCCGAGTAAATAAATAACTAAGGATTTCCTAACGAGGTTTTGTAGCGTTGCACATTACGTTTCTCCTTCCTTTTAACGTCAGTAAGTACTCGAGTACATACGAATTGTTTTAGATAACTCAAATTATGAATAAAAAATAAACCTAGTTGTGCGTTTAAGTGCAAACTACGCCAAAAAAGAGAAGATAGTAAACGAAAATTGTCCAAAATCGACAAATTTCTTAGTCAGCCTTCTGCGAGTACTTTTGGTCCAAGTATTTCTGTGTTAATAATAAAACTTATACACATATATGTAGGTAGTACGTAGCTTTGTTTTTTTCTCTATGTTCTACAGAGCAGGATAAAGAGCTGATATGTTAAAGTATATATATATATATATATATAGCTTTGTATATTTAAAATATTCCTATATTTTTACTTGATGCAACTCAACCAAAAAAGGGCCTTCATTTTTTTTCTGCACCAGGGCCTTTAGATACCTAGCTACGCCATTGGTAGTAAGCAAATATTTTACTAAGCTACCAGTATCTCTGAAAAATATATTTGAAAACCGAATCTATGATTAAAAAAATGCTAAAATGTGTATTCTGTTCCTAAAATGGTAAGACTTGAAACCATTTATAACATTAGACAGAAACGCTAAATTTATAAACTCTCTTTTTAACATTCCAAGACAAACTGAGACAAATGTGACAAAGTAACGCTTAAAAAATATCTCGAAGTAATTTAATGCTTACTGAATGTTCTAAAACGAAATGTGTTTAAAAGCAAACTTTGAGCAACATCCTATACTACTGAGATGATTTGAAAATACTTAAGCAAGTACAAAATGAATAACTGTTACTTAATAAGTGTTCTAAATATCAAATTTATATTACATTTAGGCGAAAGTGGAATTGGAAATCTACAATAATGTTGCCATTACACAGTGGTCATATAACTTACGCGTTAAGCTAAAAGTGTGACGAGGTTTTACGCAGCTTCACACTAATCCTCTTGGGGAATCTTTGGGGCTAGAATTGAGTTATTTCAATCCAATCCTCTCAAGAAGAAACCGAGATATGTAGATTAGTTAATAGATATATAATGGAGCTTTAGTATTTGAGTGTGAAGAAGAATAGTAGTAGAATAGTGGTAGAATGGTAGAAGAATAGTAGAAAAATAGTAGAAGAATAGAATAGAAGAAGGAGACAGAAAGCTGAGATGCTGATCGTCGTGAACTATGGTAAGATATTAAATATAGAAGTGTAATTATAGAACGGACTTTAGTGTGTTAAGGAATCTATGGTAGATAAAGATTCTTAGGATAACTTCTCATAAATATAGTGATTAGGATTTCAGGCGCTATTTTCTTAGAATTTAGAATAACATTGTATCACTCCTGATTGAATCCTTATAGTAAGACTTGTGTTGTGTTGCTTGGATTAATATATTGGATAGTAATTATATATAATTAGATTTATTATGGCGAATTTGGGTGATCTATCCTTTCCTCCTACAAATCTAGGTCGCGTAGATGAAGAGATAATACCCCCGGAGCGGGGGTATCACAAAAGTATCTTGTAATCATTTTAAATGTTAAAAAATTAATAACAATAGTAATTTTTTTTATGTGTTCAAATTTGTTAGCTGAGTAGCCTGGACCAGAAAATGATTTTGGGATCTCCAATGAAGTCATCGCAGACACATTTTAATATTTCTGAAGGTAAATCATAATACTATTCATGCTAAAGGAATTTTAATGCTTGATTAATTTTTCATGCTTTCTTACCGTTGTATTTTTATCGTCCTTTTTAACTCATGTGCATTTTTATATTGTAAATTTGTTATGTATCTTTTTCAAATTAGTCAATAATTTTAATTTTAAGAGCTCTATAGTAAATGAAATGTTTACCAATTTATTTGGAGTATTATTTAAGCTTATTTACATATACTATACTGGAAAGTTCATTTCCGTGTTTAACAATATTTTATATTTTATTTTAATATTATATTCCTATTTATATCTAAAAGTTAAGGAACATTATTTGTACAAATTGTGAGAAAGCAGCTTATTAGAAATAACATTTTTTGATTAAGTTTTCGAACAATTCACGATGAAGGCGTCAATTTTATGTAGATACAGGCATATGCCTTCTACAAAAGATCTTTATTTTAAAAGTATTTTTTCCTATGCTGCTTTGTACTGTATAACGAAACTTTTTATTGAGTTTTATTTTTTTGACAGCCCCAAGAAATGTATATTTGGCCGTGGTAGGTTAGTGGTTATGATCTCGAACTCGTGGCCAGGCTCGCGGGTTCAAGTTCTACTGCCACTGAAGGCATGCCGTGTAAAGGTGAC